TGGGGGTGACCTGTGCAGGGAGTGGGGGAGGGGTCCTGGGTGTGGGGGTGACCTGTGCAGGGAGTGGGGGAGGGGTCCCGGGCTTGGGGTGACCCCTGCAGGACACAAGGGGAGAGCACAGGGTGCCCCCGCAGACACCAAGCTTGACCGCTGGCTGGAGCTGGCCATGGCTCGTGCACTCAGGGAGAACGCCACCCCGTGCACCTGCCCCAGAGGCCACGAGAGAGTCGGAGATGTCCCCAGACTGAAGCACTGTCTCCTGACAGGGCCGCCACGCTGTGCCTCTATGCTGCCTGGGTCTTCACGGTGTCCAACCTTGGTGTTAGTGCACACGGTCTTTGCCTGGAGAGGGAGTGCACGACCCGCATGGGGACCATGGATTCCGCGGCCTGCGCTCCACCATGCACCGGCAGGGGACCACAGGAAGGTGCCCTCACCCCCCGGGCCTCAGTTTTTCCTATCTGTAGAACAGGGTGACCCCCACAGGGAGGAATGGTGGGGACAATGACCAGAAGTCATTTATGAGAAATATTTGGGACACAGCCTGGCGTGCAGGAGGAGTTGGCGAGTTGCAGAGGGAGGAAGCCCGCAGACTGGAGGGTGCCTACCGCGCGCACACGCACACACGCACTTCCGCAGGGATGCCCCATCACGCCCTGCCTCAGCCTGTGTCCTGACCTCTGCCCTGGTGTGGACAGCAACTGAACGCTGGTGGCTTTCAAGTCCAGAGCTGTCTGCCCGGCAACCCTCTTTGATGTAGACTGACAGTCATGAGTGGTGAGTACCCCGGCATCGGCCCCTTCCACAGGGAGAGCTTTGACCCAGACTGGAGGGTCCTGCCACAGCTGGTGCCGGGGAACAGCCACACCACGTCCTGAGCCCAGCACGTGGAAGCCGGGCTCACCCTGTGCCACTGAGCCAGGTGCTGCCACAGGTACTGGGGACGCAGCGTAGTCCCACAGGGAGGTCCCTGCCCTAGCGCCGATACTCAGGTGGGGAGCGGGAGAACAGACGTTCAGGTCAACAGGTGCTCAAGGTCACTTCCGATGGTGCCCATCTGTCCCCATGAGAGGAAACTGGGCAGCATGCCTGGGAGTGCCGGGGGAGGGGCTCCTGTGGACTCCTGTCATGGAGGGGCTGGCCCAGGAGGTGACACTGGCAGGGCCCTGACAGCTGAGAAGGGGCAGCCACACCAAGGGCTGGTGGCGCTCCCAGGGAGAGGGCAACCTGGAGAAAGACCATGGATCAGGAATGAACCTGGCACAGAAAGAAGGCAGGGAGGGAGGGGAAGGGAGGGGGTGGAGTCTAGGGAGAGGGGGAGAGGTGGGGGGGAGGTGGAGCCCTGGGGGAGGGGGAGGGGTGGACAGGCCCCAGTTGCCCCAGCGCCTGCAACCTTCCAGCCTTGGAGTGTCTTTCCTGGACAGAGAACACTCCCATCCCGGGCAGGAAGGGCCTGCGTTGTGAGCCGGAAGTGGGTGGGCACATGGTGGGGAGTCCCTGGGGTCCTGTAGGAAGCCCAGGGAGGCTCCTGTGTCATCAGGCCTCCACCATCTGGTTGGAGCAGCTCAAGGAGGAACAGGAAGTGTGGCTGTGGCGGGCAGACACCTGCTGGCACGCGTCCTAACGGGGGAGCCTGCAGCAGGTTCCCGTGACACGCCTTTCCCGGTGACTTTCCAGCTGGTCCTGCCCTCTGGGAACCGGGCTGTCTGGCTGAGCCTCCTCTTCTCTATTTGGTTTTCTTCCTCTCCAAAGAAAAGGAAAAAAAAAGCCCAAATGTGCACACTGCATAATTATAGCGCCTGAATTGCTTCACTCTGTGCCTGCGGTCTCCTGGGAGCCGGCGGTCAATGAACTCCAAAGGCCACCGGGCCAGGCGATGCTTTCCCGGGAACATCAGGAACCGTCAGCATCGGCTCCTCCTTGGGTCCTGGGTGCGAGTGCGGAACAACCACACTGCCTTCCCTGGTCCCTGGCGTGCGTTTGGATCACACGCAACACGTGTGTGGTGTCAGGGGCCCATGGATCACCCTGGCACTCCCTGCAGCCTGGTGCCCGAGGGGCCTCCACCCGTTCCCCCTGTGAGAAGGGGTGGCTGGGCCAGCGCCTCCAGTGGGAGGAAACTGAGCCACACCTGCAGGGACCCGTCCTGAGCCACAGCTGGAGACGCCGTGGACCCCGGTCCACTTCCGGCCACCCGGGGTCCTGGGAACGGCTGCCGCTGGCTCTGGTTGGCACCGACCCTGATGAATGCTCTCTCAGCCCTGGGCCCAGTGTTTGCAGGAGCTCGGGCCGGGGCCAGCTGGAGCCTGGACTCTGAATGAGCTCCTTTCTTCCCGGGCTCTGCTCCGCCCTGATTTGCATGACTAATGCTTCGGCTTTTATCCCCTGAAATGAGTGTGTTTGTTGATTCTTGACCCGCCTCCTACTGAGGGGCAAATTATCTGCCCACCAGGCAGGGGCTTGCAGGGAGCCCAGGCAGGGACAATCCCAGGACAGCTCACCCAGCCCGGGGAGGGCAGCAGCGAGATCACGGCCGCCCACCCCCCCACCGCAGACTTGCTGAGGTGAGTGGTGGAGGAGGACCGGGCGGGGGGAGGACGGAGGCAAGGATCCTCTTCGTGCTGCAAATCTGATTTCAGGAACCACTCAAAAGCCTCTTCATGCGAGGCTGCAGTGGCTGTGGGGAGAGAGAAGACGCTGCTCTCAGCTCCGTCCCCCCAGCGCCACCTGTTCAGTCACACGACTCATCATTTCCGCTTTGGTCGAAATTCGAAATGAAATGAAATCCGTAGGTAACATAATCTATCTGTGTGTCTTTTTTAAACATTCAGTTCAGTGTCCTAACCATGGTGAAAAGGTAAATATGGGGCTGGCGGGGCGTGGCTGGGTGAGCTGCCACTCGGGACATGGGCGTGCCCGGTCACAGTGCCAGTTCGAGTCCTGTCCGCTGCACTTCTGTTGCTTCCAATTCAGTTCCTGCCGCCCACGTGGGAGGCCCAGATGGAGGTCCCGGCTCCAGGTTTCTGGCTGGCCCAACCCTACCATTGTGGCCATTTGGGGAGTGAACCAGCTGATAGAAGACTCTCTCTCTCTCTCTCTCTCTCTCCCCCCCACCCACCCACCCATGTGTGTATATGAGACTCTGCCTTTCATATAAATAAGTCCTTTTTTAAAGATCTTCATGCAAAGTGATTTGCAATAAGAAATCAGATAACGCTTATTTCAACCTCGAATGTTTCAGCACAGCCGCCCTCGGAAACCCGCCGGGCGGTGGTGCAGCCTCGTGGCGAGCGAGACGAGCGAGACGAGCGAGACGAGCGAGACGAGCGAGCTGATGCGGCCCCGAAATGCGTGGCTGCTGGAGGCGACATGAAGACAGGAGCTCCGTGGGCAAACCGTGGCACCTGCTGTCCCCGAAACTCAGCCAACCCCGCGTGAAAACACTGCATACACAGGTGGATACGCATATAGAAAGAGCCAAGAGGGAAGGAGGGAGGAGGGGGGGGAGGGGGAGAGGGAGAGAGAGAGAGAGAGAGAGGCACCTGCAGCACGAGGCCCTACCACCTGCACCTCTCAGAGAAATGTGATCTGGTACTTAATCCTCCTCCAACTGTCAGACAACACTCTCTCTCTCTCTTTTTTTTTAAAGATTTGTTTATTTGAAAGGCAGAGTTACAGAGAGGCAGAGGCAGAGAGAGAGAGAGAGAGAGAGAGAGAGAGGTCTTCCATCTGCTGATTCACTCTCCCAATGGCCACAACTGCTGGAGCTGTGCCAATCTGAAGCCAGGAGCTTCTTCCAGGTCTCCAGGTGGGTGCAGGGGCCCAAGGGCTTGGGCCTTCCTCCACTGCTGTCCCAGGCCACAGCAGAGAACTGGATCAGAAGTGGAGCAGCCGGGACTTGAACTGGCGCCCATATGGGATGCCGGCAGTGCAGGTGGCAGCTTTACCCACTCTGCCACAGCGCTGGCCCCCTGTCAGACACTCTTCCAAACAGAAAACACATTGGAGATTAAATAAAATAAACCTGTCCCTACTTTCATTTTAAAAAAAAGTATTGTTTTTGTGTAAAGTGTATTTTCCTGGGGGCCGGCATTGTGGCATAGCCACATCCCACATGGGTGCCGTTCAAGTCCCAGCTGCTCCACTTCCGATCCAGCTCCCTGCTAATGCTCCTGGAAAGTCAGTGGAGGATGGCCTTGGGCCCCTGCACCCATGTGGGAGGCCCGGATGGAGCCCCGGCTCTTGGTCCAGCCCCGGCCTGCAGGTTGTCCCAGAACCAGCCTTAATAAGTCTGATCCTTGCAAAGAAAGAAAACGTGGGGGGCGGAGGGGAGGCTGAAGCCCACTCCCACGACCTTTTCAACTGCCACACGACGTGGGCACTGCAAGCCACACTCAGGGGTGGATGCCTCAGCCTTCTGTCCAGGGCACGTGGAGCCCACACTGCAAGACTTCCGGGCTGTCGGCTGATGTCCGAGGACATCGGTAGGTCACCTCTTCCTTTAGCCACGTGAGCACTGAGCCACCCTGGCTCCTGCCCACTCACAGGGATTTGCATGCAAATCTCACACTCAGAATAACTTCACAGCTGGGTGCGGGGGCCGCGGGGCGAGGTTCCTGACCAGGTGCCAAGCCGTTTAGCTGTGCGCGCGATGCCTGTCACAGACTCCCATCTAACCATCCGCACTGCCGCGCGGGGAAGGGATGCTATCGACTGATCACCCGGCAGCCTAAAATTAGACGGTTTTAGCAAAATGTGGGAAGCGGAGAGCAGCCTCCCCAGCTGCAGCCAGTAGCGCTCTCTGAGCTGTGGCCCCGAGCCGGGCCCTGTGCCCACGGGGGCTGCAAGTGAGCAACACGAATCACGCCCCGGACTCACAGCGCTGGCCAGGAGGGAAACACCACCACCAGAAAGGCGGCCCGGGATGAGGGCTGCTGGTTAAGTCTGCAGGCACCGAGCTAAGCCCACCAGGGCACCGCGAAGGGAGTTTTAAAGCCGGGATGGACAGTTCAGAAGGGCACAAGGCATTGGGAAGTGAGATGGGGCGGGGCAGGACGGACTATTTGCAGACACTGGAAATAAGCGGCGTTCCTGTTTGCAGCATTGGCCTGGGGTGCAAATTCCTCTCTCCCTGTGACTCAGGAACAAAAAGCCTCAAACACCCAGAGCAGGGGCTGCAGTCCAAGGGCCACTTCTGCAGCCGGGGCGCTAGGAGCAGGCAGGCTCGGGACCCTGATGGCGGAGTCGGGGGTCATTCATTCGTCAGCCTCGTGCCCTGGCCCTACCCTGGGGCCCCAGGACACAGCTGTCCACGTCGCAGACGTGCGGACCATGGCGATGGACCAGGGCTGGGGACTCTTTGGGGTCATCACAAGAGGAGCTCTGAGCACGGGCTGGCGCCCCACAAAGACCCCAACCCGGTAGGGTCTGCCCACCGGCTGCTTCTGGGGAACGGAGCCCCACCCAGGCCACCGCTGTGTGCCTGTGACCTGGCATTCGCTGCCACGTGTCTGCTGTCAGAGACCCCCCCCCCACATCAGCAGGATCTCCTGGGTGACACCCCTGGGCACCTCTCCTGGATGCCTGCGCGGCCCTTCAGGCTGCCGGCCACCAGCTCCGGGGTCGCCACCTGCTCCCACTCGTGTTCAGTCCCCCGGGACTATGGCCTGGCCCTATCCAGACTAAAGGGTTTTCACCAGAAGGGAAAGACACAGCCGGGGGTGGTGAGCAGCCCCCCAACACCTGCCGTGTCCAGTCCCCCCACGCAGGGTCCGCCCAAGGATTGTGGATTCGGGGTGTCTGTGTGGAGCCAGGTGTAGACTTGGCAGCACACGGTTGAGGCTCAGAGCTCAGCCCTGTCCCTCCCACATTCACCAGACCAGCCTCTGTGCTGCCATTTCCCGTCTACACCCGGGGATGGCGACAGCGGGACTGCAGTGAGGCCCGAGGGAGGGAGGCGTCGGCCCAGCACAGGCGGAGCTGGGAGGCTGGGCGGAGTCAGCAGGTGCCCTGGGGTCTGAGCCAGAGCACGCTAATCATTTTGCTCGTGGCAGAACGGGCGGCCACCCACCGCTCAGCCTAGGACACGTGGCGGGTATGACAGCAAACGCCAGGGTGCCCTTTACTGTAAACCTCAAAGCTGGAACCTGGGCGGGGGTAAAGGCTACCGCAGAGGGGCCGGTGCTGTGGCGTAGCGGGTAAAGCCGCCGCCTGCAGTGCCAGCATCCCATATGGGCACCGGTTCAAGTCCCAGCTGCTCCACTTCTGATCCAGCTCTCTGCTATGGCCTGGGAAAGCAATGGAAGATGGCCCGAGTCCTTGGGCTCCTGCACCCACGTGGGAGACCCAGGAGAGGCTCCTGGCTCCTGGCTTCAGATTGGTGCAGTTCTGGCTGTTGTGGCCACTGGGGAGTGAACCAGTGGATGGAAGACCTCTCTCTCCCTCTCTCTCTCTCTCTCTCTCTGACTCTCTGTAACTCTGCCTTTCAAACCAGGAGGGACCTTGTAGCTGTTGCCATGGTTACACACCAGGGCTCCAATCCGCTGGAGCTGGGTTCAACACCCAGCCCCACCACTCACCCCTGTGTGTCCTCGTGCAGGTTTCCCAACCTGACCAAACCTCTGAGTGCTCATCTGTAGCTTGGGGCTAATGATGTAGAGTGGTGGGAGGAATACGTTTCCTAACCCAGCCGTCCGCCCGCACATGATCGTCGTCCGACGGTCAGCACCCAGGCCCAGGACAGCCTGGGAGCCTGCAGGCTGGAGATGTGTGAGGCGGTGCAGGGGAGGGGGAAGCCCACGCAGCCACCCTGAGCCCCGCAGGGCCGTGGCTGAGGAGGAGCGGGGGTGTCTGTGGGCCTGTCCCTCAGCACCTTGTCGGGGTGCATCCCCGCAGCTTTGCTCTGTGCAGGGGATGCCCCTCCCAGGCTCCGGGCCTGCAGCCAGTGTGAGGCTCTGGCCTTGGCCAATGCGTCGTCCCGAGCGCCCCACCGCAAGGCCCTCTACAAGCCTGGCGTCTGCTCTGTCCCCTGTGCCCTTAGCGGCCCCTCCCCAGCCGCCCAGAGGCCCGGGGCTGGGGGCGCGTCGGGTGCGCGCTGCCTTGGACCCCATCCCGCCCAGCAAATCCCACCAGGATTCCAGGACAGCAGGGCGAGCGCTGGGAGGGGAGCGAGCCGTCACAGTCAATACGCGGAGGGCGTGAGTAAAAGACAAGCCTGGCTGGCAGCGAACATCGCTTTTAATTGAGCCCATGCCTACATTTTTACACGCGACAAGGAAATTAGTGACAGTGCGAGAAGCCTCGGAGAAAAATTAATTAGCCCTGCTGCCCAGCCCTCTGCCTGCTCGCTGCTCAGCCTGTGCCTCCCCCCTCCCACCCCACACACACACCCAGCGCAGCCGGCTGCACATGCGCAGCTGTGGCCCCCACAGCACCCCCAGCCCTCCCCCCACTCCCCGCCCAGGACCAGGGCACAGGGTGGGCTTCCGAGGGAGGGGGCGCCAGGCATGAGAGGGGCCTGGGCGTGCCTGGTGCACACACACGGCACCCAGGAGCAGGGCCAGCGGGGGAGGGGGGGGCAGAAACAGGAGCCTGTCCCTGGGGGCTGCGAGCCTATCTGGTGATCAGGGCTGGGATGCCCCTCCAGCCCTGGCTCCCCCACCCCCGGCTCTCCCTCACTCCTGATTGGGTGACTCCGTGAGTCCCAGCATCTCCATCCGTGCTCCGGGACGCTGGTGGCTGTGACCCTCGTGCCTGACCCCGGCCAGTGCTGTCCTGCACACCCGGGGTCACACCTGGGACCGAGGAGGCCTGAGTGCCCGAGGAAATGACCTTGAGCTGCTCCTGCCTGCTTGCCCCCTGGGGTCTCGAGGCGAGACCGGTCAGCATTCCCCCTGGGGGACCCACGTTTACTAAGGCTCAGAGACCTGGCGGCCACGTGTCCCACAGCGTCCCCGCCCCATGCACAGCAGCACCCTCCACGCGCCCAGGCGGCTCCCAACAGCAGACACGGGCGCCCTGAACCTGCAGAGCGGAGCCCCAAGTTCAGCCGGGAAAGGGAATTTGCGGGAAACCTTTGCCAGGCGGAGCGGTGGCTGCCGGGGGCCTGGCTGCCTGGCATCCTCTCCGAGTCGCAGCCAGGTGGGGGGCAGGGCGCCCCTCGGCCTCGGAGGACCCCGCGTCTGCACCCAGCTGTGGAGTCTGCAGCCGATTTCACGGGCATTTAGGGAGGCCGCGGGAGGCCGTGGCTTAGCGTGTCCCCTTCTAATTAAAGGACAGCGGCCACTTGTTCCCCGTCAGAGCTCACAAAGGACGATTGCTCCAGGCCCCGGGCAGCTGGCGGGAGGGCGTCAGGTGCCAAAATCCGGCGCCTGCCACCTGGCATTCTTGGGAACTGGCCTTTTAAGGAGACGGGCCTTGTGAGGAGATGGCCTGTCCCCCCAACCCCCAGCTGCCTCTGGGGGTCAGCTCTGCCCTCTGGGGGTCGGTTCTGCCCTCTGGGGGCAGAGGGCGAGGTCCTGACACCCCCCGGCCTTGCCTGGTAGAGCCGGGAGCTGGGCCCTGTGGGCCGGGGTAGAAGCGCCTGCCCTGTGCCGCCCACCTGCCAGCAGCCAGGACAGCCCTGGGAAAACGGACGCCACCACCCTCTCCAGGCCCGGAGCTGAGCCCCGTCACATCCCTGTCCCCGCTCCTCCCCAGAGCCCTCCTGGGCCACCCAGCTGGAGGGGACACGGCGGCTCCCTGGCCCCCACAGCCTGCGCAGCGTGAGCTCCGGGGCGGTCACCTCGCACGCGTGTGGTCTGCGGAGGCGCCCTCAGCCCCAGGAGGGAAGCGTCCTCGGCTCACTGGCCTGTCGCCCCCACCCCAGGGCATTCTGGGAAGAACGGCTGCTCCTCTCCAAGGCCAGAGGTCACGCGGTCTTGCTGTGCTGTGCTCCCAGGGCCCCAGAGCAGCCGGCCGACCGCCTTGTCTGTCCCTCTCGGTGTTGGGTGTTTGGCAGGAAACGCGCCTCCCATGGCAACACGGAAAGCCATGGCGCTCACAGAGAACCAGATTCCCTGACTCCAAGGCGCCAGCAGCGGGGCCCCGGCCACAGTGCCCAGAGCAGCGACTGCTGGAGCCAGGTCCCGGCTGCCCTGAGATGGGCTTGTTCTCTCCACCGCGCCTGCCGCAGTCTCCCCCTCCCCAGTGCCCCCGACGGAGGCCCAGGCTCTGTGCCCCACGCTGCGGCTGTGCTGTCCACATGTGCTGTGCTGTGCGACCCTGGGCAAGCGCCTCTGCCGTCCTGGGCCTGCTCCCCCTGAGGATGGGAACAGCAGCAGACCCGCCCCCAGGCCCAGCAGCAGACCCGCCCCCAGGCCCAGCAGCAGACCCGCCCCCAGGCCCAGCAGCAGACCCGCCCCCAGGTCCAGCAGCAGACCTGCCCCCAGGCCCAGCAGCAGACCCGCCCCCAGGTCCAGCAGCAGACCCGCCCCCAGGCCCCGGTGTCCGGAGCAGGAGCCGGAACCTGTGAGGACCAGGTCTGGAGGTGCAGGTGGCTCCGGGAGCCCGGCCGCTGCCTGCCCGGGTCTCCCCTGCCTCCTGCACATGTCCCATGCAGGGCCCTGTGGTGTCTGGGCTTGGGGACCTGCTGTGCGTGGAAATGAGCCCGACCTCCTCCCCCAGCCTCTGTCAGCCCCAGCCCGGCCCAGCCCCACGACCCCTGCGGTCCACAGCCCCCCAGCAAGGGCCCTGTCCCTGGAGACCCCTCGGCCACCACGGCCGGCTTCTCTAACGTCTCCTACCTGGGCTTCAATCCCCTGAGCCGCCAGGGCCGTGTGCAAGATCTCATCCCAGCCTCAGCCCAGCGTGCACTGGACTCACCACACATACAGGCACACACTCATGGGCACACACATACACACTCACACACACAGCCACACACTCAGGCACACACACACACACAACCACACGCACTTACACAGACATACCACACAGTCACACACTCACGGGCATGCACACTCATACACACAGCCACACACTCACGGGCACACACATGCACACACACACATGCACTCACACACACAGGCACACACTCATGGGCACACACATACACACTCACACACACCACACAGGCACACACTCACAGGCACACACACGCACAACCACACGCACTTACAGACATACCACATAGTCACACACTCATGGGCACACACATGCACACTCACACACACACTTACACAAATACACCACAGTCACACACTCATACACACAGTCACACACTCACAGACACACACATGCACACTCACACACACCACACACACACCACACAGTCACACACTTATAAGCACAAACATGTACACTCACACACATGCACACACACGCACTCACACACACACTCTCTCTCCCACAAGGCAGGTGTCAGTTTGGGCCTCGCAGCCTCCCCTGATGGGGGCAGCACTGACAGGGAGCAGCTGATGGACACATTAACGTGGAGACGGAGTCGCCCGGCAGTGTTGGACCTGACACCCGGGTGTCAGCGTGGTTGCCATGGAGAGCGTGGGGCGGCCGCCAGGGCTCACGCCGGGGCCTGAGCTCCGCTGACACGCAGCTCACGTGCGCTCTGCGAGGAGGCGCAGGCGTGGACTGGCATCTTAATGACGCCTCACTCGCTGCCTGTGTGTGCGTGTGCTTGTGTGTGCTTATGGATGCGTGTATGTGTGTGTATGTGTGTGTGTGAGAGAGAGAGGATGTATAAAGGGGCTTCAAAAGTTCATAGAATGGGACCAGTGTTGTGGCGTAGCTGGTGAAACGCCGCCTGCCGTGCCAGCATCCCATATGGGCGCCGGTTCGAGCCCTGGCTGCTCCGCTTCCGATCCAGCTCTCTGCTGTGGCCTGGGGAAGTAGTAGAAGATGGCCCAGGTGTTTTGGCCCCTGCACCCACGTGGGAGATCCAGATGAATCTGTGGTTTTCCCAGGGGAATGGGAGGGAGGAAGGAGAGGAAAGGAGTCCTCAATAGGACTTGGGGGAGGATCGGGCTGGGGACAGAGCCCTGGGTGGCCCTGGGGGTCTGGTGCTGCCTCCTTCCCAGATGGGGCCGGAGTCTTCCTTGGAGGACAGGACTCACCTGACCCCACTGATGGGTGGTCCAAGCCCTGCCCCCTTCACTGCTGCGCAGAGCCCGGTCCCAGGGATAGCCCATGGACGCTGACTCCCACAGCCTCAGAACCCAGGGTGCTCCCGGGACACTGGGGGACAGAGCAGCTCCGGGAGCCACAGGGCCAAGGCTCTGGAGCTGCAGGAGGACCCGGCCCAGGCCAGGACAGGGACCTGCAGGGCCGTGGAACAGGTGGGGGTCACTCAGGACACGGCGGCGCCGCTCCACCACTACAACCTCCCGCCCACTGCCAAGTCACTGTCCCTTCGCAGTGTTGTGACCTGGGGCTGCCCAGCCCTCCTAGCTGCCCCCCACCCCCACCCCAGGAGCAGGGAGTGGTAGCGGGAGGCGATTTGCATACAAGCACTAAGGAGGGCGGAGCTGGGCTGCCCTGGGTGACAGGTTGATGGTCCTGCTCACACAGAATTGAATGCTTACCAGACAGACTGCGCTCAGGAGACAGTGCTCCGTCTCTGGTCCCTGGCGGCTGTCACTTGGCCATCGGCTCCTGAACTGAGTGACACTCCTGCCCCTCCCCTCCCAAGCCTCCTGGCCCTCCAGCCCCCCGCCCCCTGGGCTGGTGGGGTGACTTCTGCTGGCAAACTGTACAGACACCGGGCTGTGTGGGGCCCTGTGCTGGCCGAGTCCCTTGGGAATTGTTAGGTAGGAAGTCAGATGTGAGCTTATGTGTGTGTGACAAAGGCCTAAAGAGAAGACGTCTATGTCCAGCATCTGCATCTCAAAGTCATCCCCATAACGTTTCAGGGGCAGCCCAGTATCCACGTCCTGCCCTGCCCCCTCCTACCCGATAACCTGCCAGGTGGGGGTCCCCACCCCTTGTGCAGGATAACCTTCCAGGTGCAGCCCAGTATCCGCATTTCAAATACTCTGCTGGGATCCCCATCCTCCAGGGGGTCTTGCTTACCCTTCCTCTAAACTCAGGACTGCGCCAGCTAGGCTTCCTCCTGTCTGATACCCTCAAGGGGAAAACTCAGATAGGAGTTTTAGTATTTACACCCATAAAGACAAAGATCCATCCCCTTAACCCCCCCCCACACACACACACACCCTCAACCAGACTGCGCGCTCAGCCCTCTGCCTCTGCTGAGCCGCCCGCCTGCCCGCCCAGGTGTGCTCTCTCCACTCAGCCATGTAACCTCGCTCTCCCCCAGTCAGAGCAACTGGGCGCTCTCTCTCAGGTTCTGTCTGGAGAGGTGCCCATCCGTTCCTATGGACGTCCCTTCCCTAGTAAACTTTGCTATCTTACTTTCCACTACTCTCTGGCTCATGCTTGGATTCCTTCTTGCGTGAAGACAAGAACCCTGCCAACCACCGGTAACAGAATGAAGCCACTCGTGCAGGAATCAGAGGAGCCCTGCTCAGCCTCCTGTGAGCCCCACGAAACAGGCTCTGGGCGACTTCCAGCGGGAGCAGGTGCAGGGCTGGGCACCCGGCTCACCCGACGAGGCGTCAGAGGCAGGAGCCTGTCCCATGTGCAGCGACGCGGGCTGAGTCTGTGCCACCCTGAGCGCTGGGGGCTGGCTGGCAGGGCTAGTCGGGGCCTGGGACACGCCCACAGCTCCCTGCCAGCCGGGGACCACCCTCGGAGCCCCTGAACAAGGAGCGGCCCTGAGCTTCCCATCAGCAGCCAGGTTTGGGTTCTGGCTCCCAGCAGCTCCTGTCTACACTGGATCACTGGGGCCACAGCTCTCCCCCGGGTGCAGGGCTAGCGTCTACATTGGATCACTGGGGCCACAGCTCCTCCCCCCAGGTATAGCGCTGGCGTCTACACTAGAGTACAGTCCACAGCTCTACCCCGGGTGCAGGGCTGGCGTCTACACTGGAGTACAGTCCACAGCTCCTCCCCCGGGTGCAGGCTGGTGTCTACACTGTACAGTCCACAGCTCCTCCCCCAGGTACAGGGCTGGCGTCTACACTGTACAGTCCACAGCTCTCCCCCGGGTGGAGGCTGCGGGAACACAGATTTCCTCCTGGCTTCCGGCACCTTCCAGTCCCCTCCGGAGAAGGTGGAGCCGAGGCCAAGCTGCTCCCAGTGAGGAGTCTCCGCAGATTCCGAGACCCACAGAGCGCGTGGGACCCGATTAGCAGCATCGCGGGCTGCTGTGCCCTGAGGACGGCCGTCAGCGAGGCTCGGGAGGCAGCGCGGTGAAGAGCCAGGGGTCAAAGTTCCTCCCGCCTCGCCACTCGTCCTGGCTGTTGGAGTTCATTTTTAAGAAAGCAGTAAGAGCTCTGACCAGGACACCCGGGTCCCATACAGAGGACCTGGGTTCAAGCGGTGCTGCAGCTTCCTGTCATTCATCAGGTTGGTGTCACCGAAGCTGGGGGCGAGAGCTGAATTCCCGGCTCCCAGCTTTGCCCCCCGCCCCGGCCATTACTGGGCTTTGCGGAGCGGCTCAGCGGATGGGAGCGCCTCCCTCTGTCTCTCTGTCTCTCCATTTCTCACTTACTAAAGAAGTAATAGAAACATTCGGAAAAGTACTCCCTTCTGGAGTAACAGAAACGGGTCACGACACAGTGTAAAAGGAAAATGAAAGGGCGAGACATGAAACCGTGCCCATCTCAGGGCCAGCAGGCTAGGGAGGCGCCAGACCCCAGCGGGACCTGGAAGACGGGGCTGTCCCAGGAGCGGGGGGCGGCGGGGAAGGACGGGCCCCTGGTCCTGACCCCCAGAAGCGACTTCTTTCACACTGACGCAGACCGGGAGCCCAGGGTCTCCCGTAGGGGGCAGTTGGTGCTGGTGGCAGAGGATGCCTGCCTGTGACTTTAAAGCTATTTTGTCTATGGCTAGTGACCTTGACCTTGACCTTGAGCCATGGCACCCCACACAGAGGTACAGAGGGCATGGACGGTGTGAGTGCTGTCAGAGACCAGGGACGATTACAGGTGTGTGTGTGTTGTGGGGTGAGTTCCTGGCCAAGGCATCATCATGGGGTTCCCAAGAAACACAGACCCCCTGTCAGCGGCGAGACCCCAGGAGTGACAGCCCAGTCTGGGCACTGCACCTGAGGTCAGAGGTCATCACCAGAAGCCCCGGGTGGGAACCTGGGGGGGGATGAGTGCTTCTCAGGTGATGACGTCAGGGCGATGACGTCAGGCAGTTTTGCGAGCTGATGAGGTCACCAGACAAGGGACCCGCAGCGTCCTCCCCACGCTGGGAGGGAACCAGCGACGCGGCAGCGCCGTCGGCAGGAAACGGGCATTTCCCGGAGAAGCGGCGCTAGGTTTGTAAGGACGCGCCCTGAGCAAAGCCGTGCGCATCTCGCCTTCCTGTTGAGTAAGGCTTCGTGAAGGGGTCTTCCTGCGCCCGCAACGCAGGGACAGCAACGGCTGAGGAGCCATGGCCTCCCTGGGGGCCTGTGTCGCTCCCTTCACTACTCATAAGCGTCCTTGTCAACGAGCTTCACTGCCTTCTAGTTAACTCTCTGCTTTTGCTCCGGGTGCGACTTCTACCCCCTAATAAGAGTTCACCCATCCCCCGGTACTGCAGAGAGGCCGTGCTTGTCCCCTCGCGGACCTGTGGGACTTGATGTGGACAAGAAGTTACTCACAGGGAGCATGCAACTGCCTCCCTGTTCCCCTGCAAACCTGCAGCCCCGCTGGCGCCTGAGCTGGCACCGCTGCTGCTGCTGCAGGTGCACCGGGGCCGGCGCCTTCACCTG